GAACCGCCGTGTCCGTCGGCCGTTTGCGGGAGTGGTTGCGGGAGTTCATGAAGGACCTCTACCCGCACGACAAATGGCGTGGGAGTCAGAGGTGGTCGGAGCTGTTTCGTAAGAGGTGGAATCTGAGCGTCCGCATGAAGACGCGGGTTGCCCAGAAAACTGCCTTTCGTAAGAGTTTGTTCACCGGTTTTTTATCCCCTTGTTTTTGTCACGTACTAACCTGCCGTCTATCCCGCCTGTTCATACTCCCTCTCATAGATGTCGAGGCGCAATGCAAGTTGTTTTGGCGTTTTTTGCGAGCCATGCGTCGCGAGCGCAACATCGAGAACTGCTGGATCATCAACGCCGATCAGACGCCGCTGTGGCTGGAGATGCCCGCCACCACCACCGTCGAGCAGACGGGCGTACGGTCGGTGCCGATAAGGAGTGGATGCTACCAGAAGGAGTGTGTGACCGTGATGCTGGCGTGCACGGCGGACGGGGTGAAGCTCAAGCCGTGGGTGTTTTTGAAGAGGAAGACCCTGCTGAAAGGCGACTTTCCACCCGGTGAGATATAGAAACTGCCGCTGTCTTACCGTATGCTGTTGTTTTCATGTCGCGTTAACTGTTTATGTTCCTCTTGTATGTGTAGATGTGGTCGTCGCGTGCCATGAGAAGGGGTGGATGGATGCTAACTGCGTCATCCGCTGTCTTGAGGAGTGCGTCAAGCCGTTCTTAGAAGCCCCGATTTGGCAGGTCTGCTAAGAGCTCCATGCTCGTGCTGGACTCCTACCGCGGCCATCTTACCGAGGGGGTGAAGGAGAAGTTACGCGAGCTCAACCGCGTGCCTGCAGTTATCCCATCGGGATGTACGGCTGAAGTCCAGCCTCTCGATGTCTCCATCAACAAGAGCTTCAAGGCATCTGTGCGGCAGCAGTACCAGAAGTGGTTTGAGGAGGAGGGCCAAGAGCAGCTGACAGCAGCAGGTACGTTGTAGCCGGAGTTCACGCATGCCTAATCCCTCCCTCTCACCCTTGGCTGCTGAATAACCTTCCCTGTGGTGTGTATGCTGTGGTGCAGGGAACCTCAAGAAGCCCCCCCCAGCAGTGGTCCTTCGCTGGATCTCACGGGCGTGGAAAGCAGTACCCTCCGACCTTGTCAAGCGCGCCTTCCTCACTTGCGGCATTAGCAACGCACTAGACGGCAGTGAGGACCACCTCGCCATGGCGCACAGGCGGACTCAGCTGTCGGCAGAAGTGGATGTCGACGACGACATCATCGCCGACGGCTTCTTTGGCAACAACTGCCTAGAGCCTGAATCAGACGAGGAGTAGTGTAACACCTAGGTAGAAAATCGCCCCTAGGGGCCTGCTGTATGGCATAGTGTAGTGTTTTTAGAAATCCTCGTAGTTTGAAAATTTGGTTTAAATTGTATTGTTAGAAAAAATAGTAAAACATTCTAATGGTGGCGCTTATAATACGAAAGAGTACAAAAGGGGTGGCGCTTATAATCGAGGAATGACCATAAGCGCCATGCTCCAGATAGAAGCGCCGGCGCCTTTAATAGGCCGGCGCCTATATCCGGGGCCATACGGTACCTTTACATGCGTAGTGCACCTATATTGTCGCGAAGCTGTTGCAGTCGCTGAGCAGGCAAGTTGCAATTTCAACTGAAATTTTGCCCCACTAACGCCTTGGGGTAAATTTCTATTTATCAAAGATTACGCTGAAGGGCGTACAGAACCCCCCCCCCCTTCCCCCCCCCCCCCCCCCCCCCCCCCCTTCTAATCCCCGAAATTGGTGAGATCGTGATTTTCGTCGATCACGCAAGTACCGAGGTTACCTTCCGTTCCCTATGTATTGGCCGCAGTGATGTGTCAATTGGTCAGTTGGACTAAGCTAACAAGTGTTACTGTACGGCAAAAACCCACACTGACGACGCAAGGTAAAAATTTCAAAAGTTGATGTTACACTGCTCTATCAGTGTATTGTAAAAGTACACACTACTCAGAAGTGCTTTTGAAAACGCTACACTGCCAATCGTGAGTAGGCCAAATCCAAACCTGAGCCCTGGTAAGCACCAACCTGATTGAATAAACCTTTCAAGCATAAATGTGATTTATCCTTGTTTAGCACAGTCGTCTCGGTAATTCTGTTTCTGGCTTACATTTGTAATGTGGAGGTCTTTGGTTTACGATTGTGCATACCGTAATCCCCCGTATATAGGACCCCCCCAAGTTGTAGACCCCCGGGTCTATAATACGGACCCGGGTACTCTATTCGAGTACATCTGAGTTATACCCCCCTAAATGGCTCCTAACATTATAAGACCCCCCCCCACATCCTAGAGAAGTGCGGATTTTAGAAAAATGCAATTGAAAAAGGTCACATTCCAAGTTGATTAAGAGAAATCGCACCCATGAACGCACATGTGTTGGTGCGCCAAGTGTCAAATATATATATATATATATATGTTATACTTATGGTAGGCTGTAGTGGGGTAGATACTGTGGGGTATAACCCCTTAGGGTTTTCTTCTTGTACAATTCTGTCGATAGTCTCAACCATTCCTGCCTATGTCTGAAATGGTATCTAGAGCAGCAGGTCTTTAGGACCTAAGTTCCTGCCCACCCGTTACCGCGTTACCTCACCTACGCTGCCTTGCCTGCCAGTCTGCCTTGCCTGCTGCTCGCGCGCGCCTCGGCTGCGCGCGCTTGTATCGTTTTTTTTTTTAGCGCGCGCTGCTGTTGCCAGCTGCGTCGCGCCCCGCACGTCGCCCGCGTAGCCGCCCTGAGCCCGCGCAGCCCACGCGCGGCCCGCAGCTGCCCCGCGCACCGCCCGCGCAGCCCGCGCCGAGCCCGCGCAGCCCGCGCCGAGCCGCGCGCCTGCGCGCAGCCCGCGCAGCCCGCGCAGCTCGCGCCGCGCCCTGCCAGCCCGCGCGCGGCCCGCCGCTGCTCTGCGTGCCGCCTTACCTGCTCGCGCCGCGCCTCGTGCGCTACCTGAGGTGCCTGCAGCTGCTTTGCGCGTCGCCCCTATTGCTAGCGCACTCCCTCTCCGTCTCTGCGCACAGTCTCTCTTTGCCTGCTGCCTGTGCCTGCTGTCTTCACCTGCTGCCTTTGCCTGCTGCCTTTGCCTGCACCGCGATTATGGCGACGTTCAATGTTATCGAGTTTGAGCCCGACGGTAGCCCGATCGAGTTCGCCACCTGGCTCGACGACCTCATACTGTTCCTTATGACTGATGCCAAAGACAACATTTCACTGTTCGATCACACGTCTGGCACTGCCGTTAAACCTGCTGACGATGCTCCTGCTCACGACCGCTCACAGTGGCAAACTCGCGATGCTGCTGCGAGCCTTGCTATTCGCAACCACCTGCCGATCACTGAGCGCGCGCATTTTAGCCAGCACAAGACTGCAGAGGCACTGCACGACGCTGTAGTTGCGCGCTACTCCTCCCCGGCCACTGCAGCATTAGGCCGTCTTATGCTACCCTACCTGTTCCCCGACCTGTCCTCGTTTCACACTGCTGAGGACCTCATCGCTCACCTGCGCGCTAGTGACACTCGTTTTCGTTCCGCCCTTACAGACGAGTTCCTCGCCAAGAACACCCCTCCGATGTACTTTACGCTCTACTTCCTCGTCACCCGCCTCCCTGACTCTCTTCGCTCAGTCAGGGACCACTTTCTCGCTCTAGACCCTACCGCGCTCACCATCGACGACTCAGAGACGCAGCTCCTCGCAGCGGAGAAGAAACATCCTTGCTGTGGGTGCGGCTCGTGGCACTCCTCGCACTCCCCTCTTTGAGGGGTGCTCCCCCTCCCCCCTTGCCCCCTCCTACGCCTCTGCTGCTGCTGCTGTCGACTTCCTTGGTGCTGAGGAGGTCGGGGCTGCTTCCGCTCCTAGTGGGAAGCGCCGCAGCACCAGGGGGCAGAGGGCTGGCAGGGGAGGTGGAGGTGGCGGTGGAGGGGGCGGTGGTGGAGGCGGCGGGGGAGGTGGAGGAGGTGGGGGTGGTCGGGGTGGTGGCGGTGGTGGTGGAGGTGGCGGTGGTACCGGGAGCAGTGGCGGTGGCAGCGGCGGTAGTGGGGGAGGAGCCAGTGGTGGTGGCAGCAGTGGTGGCCAGGCCAGCCAGCAGCAGCAGCAGCAGCCGCAGCGACAGCACCAGGCCCCCTCGTCTCAGCAGCTTCATGACTGGTATGCCGGGCGTGGGGCGTCTGGGGGTGCTGGTCGCTGCCCCTATATCATTCGCGCTGGTCCCTGCGCAATGGTCTTCGCACCGAGTCTCGCTGCTTTGCTCGGCTTAGCAATGCTTGGCTCGCCAAGTTCCCCGAGGCTACTGAGTTCCCCAACTGGGCAGACCTGCTTAGGCGTGGTGTACCTATATTTGATATTGACTATGATGTTATTCTTGCTACCGTGTATGCATTGACTGTTAGTGCTGAGGGTGACTGCTACTTGTGTGTGCCGCCTGACCCCGGTATAGACCCAGGTATATCACCTGCAGCTCTAGGTGCTAGTGAGTCTGCTCTCTCTGGTACTGCGTCCGCTCAGGCCTTGCACACCTTTACACTTGACTCTGGTGCTTCGCGCTGTTTCTTTCGCGACAGTACCACAGTCACACCCCTCCCTGCACCTGTCCCTGTCTCACTGGCTGACCCCTCTTGGGGCCCAGTGCTTGCACGGTCCACCACTGTGCTTCCGTGTCCGGCGGTCCCGTCTGGTGAGCACGAACTTGGTGAGCAACGCTGCTCTTCAGGATGCGGAAGTTGATACCTTCACCCTGGACTGCAGCGTGTGGCGATCTGTACGTGCACTCAGACCGGCCGTCACCTAGCCTCGTTTACACGTGCGCCTGGGTCCAGTCTGTACACCCTCACCACGACGTCGCGCTCCACCCCTTTGTCTCCTCAGCTGTACGCGTCTGCTCAGGTAGCTACCCAGTGTGAGTGTCGCCGCCTGTCGCACGACACTCTCCCGTGTCACCACCGCCTCGGTCACCCCTCCCTGCCTTGCCTGCGTGGCATGCACTCTCGCTCCCTGGTCTCTGGGCTTCCCAGGTCTCTGCCTGCCCTCCCTCCCTCGCCTGCGCCGCCCTGCATTCCCTGCGTCGAGGGGCGGCAGCGCGCCGCTCCTCACTCCTCCTCGTTTCCTCCCACAGAGGCTCCGCTGCAGACGCTCCACCTGGACGTGTGGGGCCCAGCCCGCGTCCAGGGGCAGGGCCGCGAGCGGTACTTCCTGCTGGTTGTCGACGACTACACGCGTTACACCACGGTCTTCCCCTTGCGCAGCAAGGGTGACGTCCCTGCTGTTTTGATCCCCTGGATCCGCGCTGTTCGTCTCCAGCTCCGCGAGCGGTTCCAGTCGGACTTTCCCGTCCTGCGTCTGCACTCTGACAGAGGTGGTGAGTTCACCTCCGACCTCTTGCGAGCCTTCTGTGAGGAGCACGGCATCACCCAGTCGTTCACGCTTCCGGCCTCTCCGCAGCAGAATGGGGTTGTTGAGCGCCGCATTGGCTTAGTCATGGAGGTCGCTCGTACCTCCATGATCCATGCGGCTGCCCCCCATTTTCTGTGGCCGTTTGCGGTCCGGTACGCCGCGCGTCAGCTCAACCTCTGGCCCCGTGTCTTCTTGCCGGAGACCTCGCCCACACTGCTGTGGACGGGGAAGGTTGGCGATGCGTCGCGTTTCCGGGTCTGGGGTGCTCGTGCCTTTGTCCGCGATACCACCGCGGACAAGCTCTCCGCTCGCGCCATTCCCTGCGTCTTCCTTGGTTTTCCTCCTGACGCGCCTGGCTGGCAGTTTTATGACCCCACCTCGCGCCGTGTCTTTGTGTCTCAGGACGTCACCTTTGACGAGTCCGTCCCCTTTTACCGTCTCATTCCCAACCGCACTACCCCTCGCCCCCTGCCGCCGCTCGCTCTCGCTCCAGCTCCTTCCCAAGTAGACCCCCTCCCCGCGCCAGGTCCTGCTCCTTCAGGTGTTTCTCAGGTAGACCCTCCCGTGCCTGCGCCTGTTGAGGTCACTGGTGACTCGGGTCCTGCTGGGGGTGCTGAGCCTGGGGGTGCGGAGCTGAGCGTAAGGTGCCTGGGGGTGCGGAGCCTGAGCGTGCGGAGCCTGGGGGTGCTGAGTCTGGGGGTGCGGAGTCTGGGGGTGCTGAGCCTGCGCGTGAGGAGACTGGAGGTCCTGCGCCTGGGGGTGCTGTGTCTGGGGGTGCTGAGCCTGTGTGTGCGGAGTCTGGGGGTGCTGAGTCTGGAGGTGAGACGCCCGAGGGTACTGGGACTACTGGTGCGCGATCTCCTTGGAGTGGCCTCCTTCGTCCGCGTGTGCCTCTCACCTCACAGCAGCTGCACGACTGGTACGGTCGCCATCAGGGTCGCGCTGCTGGAGCCCGGGGCTCTGCTGCTGGAGGTACTTCTGCTGACGTCCCTGGAGCTAGGAGTGGTGCTGGTACTTTGTCTACTGGAGGTGCTGGAGTCGCTGGTCCCGGAGGTGCTCGTACTGGAGGTACTGGAGCTGTTGGGGCTGGGGGTGCTGCGTCTGAGGGTGCCGCTGTTGGAGGCACTGAGGCAGGAGACCCTGGGACTGGAGGTGCTGGTTCTGGGGGTACTGCTGCGGGAGACACTGCGGCTGGAGACCCTGGGACTGGAGGTGCTGGTTCTGGGGGTGCTGCTACTGGAGACACTGAGGTTGGAGACCCTGGAGCTGGAGGTGCCGGTTCTGGGGCTGGAGGTTCTGGAGCTGCTGGAGCTGCTGGAGCTGCTAAAGCTGCTGGAGGTACTGGAGCTGCTGGTGCTGGTGCAGCTGCGCCGACACGACTGTTCTTCGCTCCGCCGTCTCCGTCGTCTCTGCCGCCGCCTGCCTCTGTTCTTCGTCAGGTTCTTCCTTTCCCGTCGTCTACTGGTCTTCTGTTACTACCTGGCTCACCGCTCCTTGCTCCTCCTCCTTACACTGAGCAGCCCGGTGGTCTTGCTGAGCGTCGTGAGCCTGCGTCGCGTCCTGTCTCGCCTGTTCGTCCTGGTCGTACCGGTCGTCGTGTTCCTCGTCAGCGTCCACTGGTTGTCCCCGGTGCGCACCTCGTCGCCCTTCGTCCCTCCTCTGCTCCGCAGCGTGTTCCCCTGCCGTCCCTCCCTGCGTCCTCTCTACCTGACATTCTAGACTCTGAGTCTGACCAGTTTCGTGCTGCGCACCCTACTGTCACGCGTCTGTTAGCCACTGTTGTCACTGACTCGTCGTTTGAGTCTGCTGCTGCGTCTGCCTTAGTCGCTGAGCTTGTTGACTTTGCTGCTGCCTGTCGTCTAGACTACGCCGCTAGTCTTGTTGCTGAGTCTGAGTCTGTCTGTCCTCCGTCCATCGGGGGTGAGTGTGCTCTTGGCACGGACGTCCTTGAGGACATGCACGAGGACCTTGAGTGTCTTGCAGCCGCTGCGCCTCATCTCGTGGCCATGCTGCTTGCCCCTGAGGGAGATCCGGATGCACCAGACATCCCGACCCCGCGCTCTTACGCTGAGGCGATCGCGGATGAGTACTCCTCTCAGTGGCAGACAGCCATGGACGCAGAGATGGCATCCTGGAAGTCCACAGGCACTTACGTCGATGAGGTTCCCCCTCCTGGGGCGAACATCGTCGATGGCATGTGGATTTTCAGGGTGAAGCGGACGCCAGGTTCTCCGCCTGTCTTCAAGGCTCGTTACGTTGCTAGAGGCTTCAGTCAGCGTGAGGGAGTTGACTTCTTTCAGACCTTCTCCCCTACCCCGAAGATGACCACTCTTCGGGTGCTGCTGCACGTTGCCGCTCAGCGTGACTACGAGCTTTACTCTCTTGACTTCAGCACAGCCTTCTTACAGGGCAGCCTGCACGAGGAGATCTGGATGCGCCGCCCACCTAGCGTCACTGAGTCGTTCCCTCCTGGTACCTAGTGGAGCCTCCGGCGGCCAGTCTACGGTCTCCGCCAGGCACCTCGTGAGTGGCACGACACACTGAGGACTACACTTGCGGCTCTTGGGTTCGCTCCTTCGACTGCTGACCCGTCGCTGTTTCTGCGCACCGACGCTTCGCTGCCGCCGTTCTACATCCTTGTGTACGTCGACGACTTGGTCTTTGCTACTGCTGACACTGAGGCTCTTGCTCTGGTGAAGTCGGAGCTGCAGAAGAGACACACGTGCACAGACCTGGGTGAGCTGCGCAGCTACCTTGGCTTGCAGATCACCCGGGACAGAGCACGCCGCACCATCACATTGACTCAGTCTCACATGGTGCAGCAGGTCCTTCAGCGCTTCGGCTTCACCTGGTCCTCCCCACAGCCCACTCCGCTGGCTACAGGTCACTCGCTCTCAGCTCCACCTTTGGACGAGTCCGCAAAGTCGAGTGGTCCTTACGCGGAGCTAGTGGGCTGCCTCATGTACCTGATGACCTACACTCGACCTGACCTTGCGTACCCTCTTGGCCTTTTGGCTCGCTACGTGGCTCCTGGTCGGCACCGAAAGGTGCACATGGATGTTGCGAAGAGGGTACTGCGCTACTTGTGCAGTACATCGGGCATGTGGCTCGTGCTTGGAAGACGGAGCGCCGTTGTCCTCACTGGACACTCTGACGCGTCTTGGGTTGACGACCAGGCTACACAGCGGTCGTCACAGGGTTACACCTTCAGCCTTGGCTGTGGCTCTGTTTCGTACGGAGCGAGTTGGTCCTAGTCCCTGGCGCGTGGGACACTCTGACGTCATAAAAACGACCAGGCACGTCGTACAGTGGTCGTCACAGGGTTACACCTTCAGCCTTGGCTGTGGCTCTGTTTCGTACATAGCCGCTGAGAGGTGAATAGTCCCTGGCGCGTAGGAGATATTGAGTCATAAAAACTGCTTCACGTCGTAGTTGCATGGGTAATATCGACGCGCCTCGCCAGATTCTTTTTGAATTGCTTGAGTAGCTCGTTGCTTGACCTTGTGTAGAGCAAATCGTCAACTTAGACGATGAGCAGAATATAATCCCCACGGAAATCGCGGCGGTACATCCCAGGATCATGGGGTAGTTGCTTGAAGCCTATTTCAAGTAGGATATTGTGTAGGTACTGCTGCCAAAGCCTTGTGCCTGCCTGATCTCGTAAACGGACTTCCGTAGCTGACACACGCACGAATCTCCTTCGTCGTACATGTGCGGCTGCTCCACGTATATTACGGCATCTAACACGTATAGAAGCGGGTTCTTCACGTCGATTTGGCACAGTGAGAGCAATGGCGAGCAGGATTCTGATGGAGGTATAACTGCTGATAGGCGCAAATGTTTGATCGAAGTCAATCCCATGCCTCTGATCGTAGCTGCGCACTACCCAGCGTGCATTAAATCGTTCGATCGTGCCGTCCGCTGCAGTTTTCACGCGGAAGACCCACACGTTAGAGACGTAGAGGCTACGCTGACGGCACTCGAAGCAGCGAGGTGCTGGCGTGTCACCCGGGGAAATGTCGGTTCGGAAAAGGCAGCGTCACATACCTAGGATTCGAAGTAGCAGAGGGGGAGCTTAGTACCGAGAAATCCAAAGCGGAGGTTCTGGATAGGGTGGCGCGGCCCAAGGACACAAGTAGCCTGAGAGCTCTGCTGGGGTTCCTGAACTACTACCGCAAATTCATAAAAGAATTTAGCAAGAAGGCGGCCCCGTTGAACATGCTGTTGAGAGAGGAGCAGGAATGGTAGTGGGAGGAGCCTCATGAGAAGGCACTGCAGGGGCTAACAGAAGCAGTGAAATCAGGAGCCGTGCTCAAGCTGCCAGACAAAGAGGCGCCATTCGTGCTGTATACCGATTGCAGTAGTGCAGGGATGAGAGCAGTGTTGAGCCAGATGGACAAGGGAGTGCAGAAGGTGGTGGCTTTTGCCAGTAGAATCTGTAGCCCTGCGGAAGTTAACTACTTGTCATACGAGGGGAAGGGATTGGCAGCAGTGTCGGCGGTCAGGAATTTTAGGGTGTATTTGCAGGGGCGGAACTTTACCTTGGTAACTGACCATCAGCCGTTGCTATGGCTGATGCACAATCAATCTCTGACAGGCAGGAATGCGTGGTGGGCAATGAAGTTATGAGAGTATGAATTCACAGTAAAGCATCGGTGCGATAAGACAATGCAGCACGTGGACGACCTCCCCAGGAACCCACCAAGCAGCAGACAGGAATAGGAACTGCCTATAGCCGCGCTGACAGTCATGGTAAGCGAGCGGGGTGAGGAGGACTGCAGGCAAGAGGAGCGCGGATGTGTGGCAGGATGCAGCGACTCAGGGAGACAGCAGTGGACTGGTGAACAGACGCAAGGGCAAGAGCGTGAGGTCAACACTACAGGTGGTACCAAGGACAGGTGCAGCTGCAGACGAAGGATGGGTGGAAGAGGGTACTGGGCACCGGCAGAGAGGGAGAAGATTATACATAAGGTGCACAATAAGCTAGGCCACTACGAGCCCTTGAGGACTCAGTAGCTACTGCAGACAGGCTAGTGGTGGGCGGTGATGCACAGGGAGGTGAAGGAGTGGGTGGAGAAGTGTGAGCTCTGCTGCAGGAATAAAGCCAGCTTGCTAAAGAGTCAGGCTGAGCTTCAGCCCCTGGACATAGTGGAGCTAGGTTACCGCTGGTCGCTAGACATCATGGGAGAACTGCCTGTTTCACGAAGGGGCAGGAGGTACATCGTTTTGATGATAGAGAACGTTAGCAAGTGGGCCGAAGCGAGACCCCTAGTGGCTAGGACGGCAGGGGCAGTGGCAGAAGCGTTTGAAGAGATGGTGCTGACATGATTTGGGGCGTGCGGAGAGGTGCTCACAGATTAGGGGACTAAGTTTCAAGGGGAGTTCAAGGAACTGCTACCATCCAACGGCATCCAGCACCGCACCACGTCCAGGTATCACCCCCAGAGCGATGGGCTCATGGAGAGGCTGCTGCAGACAGTGAAGATGGGACTACGAGTGTACCGAGAAGCGCACAAGGGGGACTGGGGCAGAAAGTTTCCCTGGGTCATGTCGAGGTACAGGTTCAGCAAGCAGGCAACGCTGAAGGACGTCTCGCCATACTATCTGCTCTTTGGGAAGCAGCTTATCCTACCTGTGGATGCCCCGAGGCTGCTGACGGGCAGTGTGACAGCGATAAGTGCAGAGAAATGGGTGGCACTAGCAGACGCAAGGGCCAGGTACCTGAAAAAGATGTTACCTGCCCCATGGAGAGCTTGAAGGTAGCGCAATTGCGTAACATACACTGCTACAAGAAGCAACAGCTGAGCAAGATGCAAGGGAAGCAGCCGACGGTGGAAGAGGGACAGGCTGTGTATGTGCGAAGGGCAAGGCGGGACAGACTGGACGTGGGAGTGTCGTAGCAGAGGTGGGAGGTGAAGGAAGTGCTTGATTCTGGTGTGTTGGTGTTGGAAGACGCTACGAGGAAGCGAGTGCTGGATCATGTCACAAAACATGGCTCACACAGGGAAGCGGAAGAAGACTACGGCCTACACTGGTCCCATGATCAGGGCGAGGACGGCAGCAGTTGGTCATGGGAGGGAGCAAGGACAGTAAGAGGATGAGCACTGCAAGGGAGGGAGGGACAGCAGATACATGCACAGTCAGGAGAGTACAGCAGAAAAATGAGGAGGGAGAGGGAAGAGAGAGGTTCAAGAGAGGGAGGGGGGAGAGGGGTGAGTTCCTAACCAGAAAACGAAGTGAGAGAGGCAGGGTGAGCAGAGCTGTTCAAGAGAGGTGCAGGGAGAGGAGGGTGTGTTTCCGACAGCTGCCACATTTGTATGAGTGTGAAGGGTAAGGAAGTTGCGTAAGGGAGGGTGTATATACTGTATTTAGC